GTAGATTTACGGAAAAGGAAAATGTGGGTATTTTCTGGTTACGAAATGATCGAGTTGTAAATTACGCATTTAGTATAAACATATATGGGTGTGTTTATATTAAAGAAGACGTAGACTTATGGAAAAAGGAAAATGTGGGTATTTTCTGGTTGTGTAATGATCAAGTTGTAACTTACGCATTTAGTATAAACATATATGGGTGTGTTTATATTAAAGTAGGCGTAAGTTTACAGAAATGAAAAATGTGCGTATTTCTGGTCATGCCATAATTATGTTGTGAACTACATATTTAGTATAAACATATATGGAGTGTTTATACTAAAGATGGCGTGAATTCACGGGAGATAATTAAGGGCGAGTTGATGAAGGGAAAAGTATATTTTTAGCCGACCATGAATGGTTAGCAACTCTGGCTTGAGTATATAAGAAAAACTCTGGCTTGAGTATATAAGCAAAACTCTGGCTTGAGTATATAAGCAAAACTCTGGCTTGATTATATAAGCAAAAATCTGGCTTGAGTATATAAGCAAAACTCTGGCTTGAGTATATAAGCAAAACTTATTTTTAGCCGACCATGAATGGTTAGCGACTCTGGCTTGAGTATATAAGCAAAACTTATTTTTAGCCGACCATGAATGGTTAGTGACTCTGGCTTGAGTATAGAAGCATACACTCTGGCTTGAGTATAGAAGCATACACTCTGGCTTGAGTATAGAAGCACACATTCTGGCTTAAGTATAGAAGCAAACACTCTGGCTTGAGTATAGAAGCAAACACTCTAGCTTGAGTATATAAGCGCGATTTGTTTTAAGAAAAATGAGAATCTGCTTTTAGCTAACCCTAAGGAATGTAGCGACTTCGGCTCAAGTTAAGCAGCAAGACAAAATGAATTTCGAAAATGGTTTACTAACCCTTTTTCTAATGTGGATTATCTTATAATGACGTTTATTGAATTAACAACTTACTCCTTTGTGTGTTTTGTACTTTTGTCATTGATAATCTCATTGCAGGTAAATAGATGAATGGAGTATGCTAGGTCGGGAGCTTTAGGAGCTTTAGACTTTGGATTCACTATTTACGTTTTTGTACTTTAAATGACTACTTGCAGATTTGAATGATTGTAACCATGGTTAACATTTATTTGGGTATTCGTAACCATGTGTGTTGTTATTTTTGGAGTGTTATAACTTTTGGGCTCTTAGTACCCATGGGAATAATAATGGATGAATTATGCTTTTCTGTCATCTGAAGAGCGTTGTAGTATGACATGTTAAAAGGGTTTTATGTAATGATTAATGAGTGATCCGAGTGTGATGATGAATGTATGTACAAATGGATTAAAATAAAAATAAAAAATTCAAGGGTAGAATTTGGGTCTTTACAGCCTTTAGCAACTAGACGCGCTTTATATCTGTCAATATTACCTTTTGAATCCCTCTTGGTTTTAAATATCCATTTGCAACCAATAGGTTTCGCACCTTCAGGTAAATCGACAAGATCCCAAACATCATTATCATGCATAGACTTTATCTCATTCTTCATGTCATCAATCCACTTTTGAGAGTTAGAACCTTTCATGGCTTGACAGAGGTTCAATGAATCATCCTCTATTAACTCGATGCCATCCTCATGTTCTTGAAGAAATACAATATATTCATCTAAAATTGCATTTATCCTCTCTCTAGTGGATCTCCTTAATGACACTTCTACTTCTTGAGGTTCTTGAATTTTCTCTAAATGTACTTCAGCGAGAACCACATTGTTGTCTTGCTCTTGAATATTGTGAGGAACAATATTCTGAACATTTTGTTCTACTACCGAAGTTGTTCCTTGAATGGTAATAGGCATAAGAACTTGTTCACCATTAGTGACAGATTCTTCCTCAAATACAACATTCATTATATTCTCTACCTTCCCAAAATCAACTTCCTCAAGAAATCTCACATTTCCCGTCTCAAAGAAAAGTCTTGTTGTAGGATCATAAAATTTATAGCCCCGTGAACTTTCAATATAGCCAACAAAGTGAAATTTGTGTGAGTTAACTACTTGACTTATGTGAATTTTTGTTGACTATGTGGTAACTGCTATTGTGAAAGATGATTGTTAAATTCCTTACGGTAAGTGTTTGGTTGTGAATTTATCGTTAGATGTCTTGTTGTGAATTTCGTAGAGGATTTCTTATTGTAAAACTTTTGTTGAATTTATTGTGTGAGACCCTTGTTGGGGATTCTCTGGTGAAACTCTTGCTGAGAGTTTCTGGTTGTGAACATCTTATTGGAATGGTTTATGGAGAGTTTGTGATCGTGATTTTCCGGTTGGATTTCTTGGTGTGAGATTCATTTGTTGAGAGTTCCTAGTGATGGACCTCTTGTTTGAATTTTGGTCAACCTCTTGATGTGAATTTTCTTTTATCACTAAGATTAAGATAATTGAAAATGAATGATTGATTAAATTGACTTTCTTGGATGTTGGCTTAACTGCTTCTATGGTTCTAATAGCACAAGATTAAGGTAATGTAAGGATAAGTCTTCATTTGTGCATTTGAAATAGAAAATGTGTGTATTTTCTGATCGTACCATGATCAAGTTGTGAATCACGTATTTAGTATAAACATATGGGTGTGTTTATACTAATGATGACGGAGATTTACGGGAAATGATGAATGGTGAAATCAATGAAAAGGAAATGTATTTTTAGCCGACCATGAATGATTAGCGACTCTAGCTTGAGTATATAAGCGAAACTCTGGCTTGAGTATATAAGCGAAACTCTTGCTTGAGTATATAAGCGAAACTCCGGCTTGAGTATATGTAGCATGTTTTCTTTTAAAAAGAAATGAGAATCTGCTTTTAGCTAACCCTAAGGGGTGTAGCGACTTTGGCTCAAGTTATGCAGCAAAGAAAATGAATTTCAAAATGGTTTACTAACCTTGTTCCAATTTGAATCATGGTTGAGTAATCGAGGCCATACCCGATACAAATAATATAAACAATTAAGTATAGTACTAGGAAGTGACTCCTAGGTCGTTTCCCAAAGATTATCTTTCACACAATGGTTCAAACACGCACACACACAATGGGGGGTTTTAGTGGTTGTTATGCTATGAAATTAAGCTAAAACAGAAACAGTAATTAACAAAAAAGTGAAACGGCTAAACCCCTTTGGTTTCCTTAATCACAACTCAATCCTTGGTTTCACAGTATCAAAATCATATTCTAATCGTTGAATCCCTAATTTGTTCATAATCAAGTAACTAAGCGATAATCAACTCATAAACAAATTCACACGAACTAAGCATTCATGCACTAGAGAAATGATTGACTAAGCGAAAATCAGTTCACAAATCTATTTCTAAGGCATGGAATTAAGCAAACCACATCCAGAAATTGAATAGAAGAAATTAACAATTAAGAAACCGAAATTGCATTAATAACCAAACCTCAAGAGTTGTGATACATTACCAAAGGAGTTTAGTCCAGAAATTTAGCCTTCCATGGAAGGATTAAGCAAAACCGAAAATGGAGAAGAGCAAAAAACGAAAATGCATAAACCCTAGGAGAGAAAAAGAGGGAAAAACGGGAATAATAATGTTTTAAGGCCAAAAAGTAATGTAATGTTAAAGTGTATCTTCAAAACCGAAAATCAAGTGTTTAAATGGTGTAAAACGGAAATGGGCCCTAAACAATGGGCCCAAAACCCAAACGGAAATAAAGATCCTAATACAATATACAATCTTCACTTTTTGCACACATCATCCACTTGTAATGTCCAAAATGTCCTTGGTGCCAAATATGACCTGAAAATGGAATTAGATTTAATTAGACTAAATAATCCCAAATTAACTCATTTTAGGAATAATAGTCCAATAAAACCCAAAACACTAAACCATGCCAAACAAAGTCAACTAGACACCAAGAATCATTAACAATGGTAAATTAAGGTTATGAATAGTGTATAATATATGACTCATCATTGAGTTACCTACCCGGAGCGGTAGTGGACCATTGTTAAATTGCCTACCTGGAGCGGTAGTGGACCATTGTTGAATTGCCTAACCGGAGTGGTAGTGGACCATTATTTAATTGCCTACCCGGAGTGGTAGTGGACCATTGTTAAATTGCCTAACCGAAGCGGTAGTGGACCATTGTTAAGTTGCCTACCCGGAGCGGTAGTGGACCATTGTTAAATTGCCTACACGGAGTGGTAGTGGACCATTATTGAATTGCCTACCCGGAGTGGTAGTGGACCATTGTTAAATTGCTTACCCGGAGCGGTAGTGGACCATTGTCGAATTGCCTACCCGGAGTGGTAGTGGACCATTATTGAATTTCCTACCCGGAGTGGTAGTGTACCATTGTTAAATTGCCTACCCGGAGTGGTAGTGGACCATTGTTAAATTGCCTATCCGGAGCGGTAGTTGACCATTGTCGAATTGCCTACCCGGAGTGGTAGTGGATCATTGTTGAGTTGCCTACCCGGAGTGGTAGTGGATCATTGTTGAGTTGCCTACCCGGAGTGGTAGTGGACCATGGTTGAATTGCCTACCCGGAGTAGTAGTGGATCATTGTTGAGTTTCCTACCTGGAGAGGTAGTGGATTATTTTCGGTATGTGAAACTTTTGGTCTATCATAATTGATTTTTTGTGAAAGTGAGTATTCGCCATAACAAATATATATATAGTGCTAGTGAACACCAATCATGTGCTTGGATGTTGAACCTCAAAAACTTATTTGGTTTCATGGGCGTCGGTGATTGCTATGCATAATTGAAGTATTATTACATAGTAAGTTATGTTAAATGGACGGTGAGGATTCTAATGCCTCGAATGGATTGACACTCTAGAACTAAAAAGCCTTTTGAAAACTGTGATTTGAGCGTTCAGTGTCGCATGAGAAAAAGGATTTTAAGTTATTTTGAAATGATTATAAAAACCCTTGCTTCCATAAGATGATTGCCATGAAACTTACGTCTAATCTATTTTCGAAAATTGAATGAAGACCTATTACTATGCCTTAGGAGTATGGTATGTATAAGATGTGTACCAAACCCCCCGGAGGGAGGGCGGGGCTCTGCTCCGTCCACCTCCCCTGAAGGCAATATATAGCTAAATGGTAAGTTAATACTCACCAGTTAGCTATAAGATTGACCTTATTTTCAGGGTATGGAGCCACGTCGTCACACCGCATGCTACTTCCTTAAATAGGATTTTCTCCCCTAAGTAAGGTCCCATGACCTCGAGGCATGGGAAGCGGTTGATATTACCTCTCTCGGCATCTTCAGGGTCAATCAACCAGTTGTAGCCTTCTCGTCTCGATCAACTCTGAGTCCGAATAGCCAGTTCCACTTGCGGTATACGCCATGTATGCTCGGAAATGAGCCCCTCCGGTTCATTCTGACCATCCACGGGGACTGGGAGTCTAGCTACCGAGCCTAGAGCAGAGCGGAGATTGAGAGGGGTGTTGTTACGGTACCGTACTATGTGGGTAAGTGTAAGGACCCGATTTTCGTAATCCAAAAATTCTCTTTAAAACCTTATTCATGAAAGTAAAGTGATTACTTTTGAAAGACATTACTTGAACGGTTTGGAAACTTGAGTGAATGCATTTATAAATTACAAGGCGGAAATATTCAAAATACCTTTCATTTCAAAAGCATGTCATTGCACTTCCTTTCAAATACATAATCTAAACAATTACTCTTTAACAAAGTACACTTTTAATTACAAATATTAAATCAACTTCATTATACACTTTAGGAGAAGTTCCATTTTACAAAAGAATTAAACCAACAAGGTTCTCGTATTACAAACGTTTTCATATAACATGTCAATTACAAAAAACACTACTCTACCATGTACACTTCTCTGCAAGCATCCGATGCGCTACCGCCACGACCTGAACTCAAATACATAACATATAAAAGGAAAGACAGAGGGAGTAAGAACCAACTACGGTGACCATAGCGTGGAATTACATGGAGTAATAACATTAAAGTATTAAAACCACACACATCTAACATCAATCATGATAAGCATATACCAATCAACACATATTATCCATATTCACCTTATAGTACATATATACCCCATAATAAATATGTTCTATAGTGTGCATATTTATTCATCTCATATTATCCATATTCATCCTATAGTACACATATATCCCACAATATATATGTTCTATAGTGTGCATATTTATTCATTACATATTATCTATATTCACCCTATAGTGCACATATATCCCATAATATATATGTTCTATAATGTGCATATTTCTTACATCCAAACATACTTATTTCTCCTCATTCATATTCATCCTATAGTATATACATCCCATAATATATATTCTATAGCATGCATATTTATTTCATTTCAAACATACTCATTTCCCATTAATGATATTCACCCTTTGACCACATCCGCCATGTCTCCCCACAAAGATAATCTTCTACCGCATCGGTAGCATTAGTTAATTTCTCATACCATCTCGGGTAGGTCGAGTTATTATTCTACCATATGGGGTAGATTGAATTGTTCCACTACCACATAGGATAGGCCTATAATTCACATTATCCTCACCTCTTATGTTCGTCATAGCACAAATTATCAACTCAATGTCATACACCCAATAAACACAAGACATCACATTGTTCCATCACCATGAACTAACACACAACACCTTCATTGTCACAAACATACCCTTATCCATTTTAACACCTTAACAGGTCATCACACATTCAGTGTTACACGCACACCCATATAGGTTTATAACAAATCAACAACTCACAACATACTCATTTTGATAAACATACTCATATCCATTTTAACACATTAACAGCTCATCACACATTCATTGTTACAAACACACCCATACATGTTTATAACAATCAACCACTCACAACATACTCATTTTGATAAACATTCTCATATCCATTTTAACACATTAACAGCTCATCACACATTCATTGTTACAAACACACCCATACATGTTTATAACAATCAACCACTCACAACATACTCATTTTGATAAACATACTCATATCCATTTTAACAAATTAACAGCTCATCACACATTCATTGTTACAAATACACCCATACATGTTTATAATAATCAACCACTCACAACATACTCATTTTGATAAACATACTCATCTCCATTTTAACATATTAACAGCTCATCACACATTCATTGTTACAAACACACCCATACATGTTTATAACAATCAACCACTCCCAACATACTCATTTTGATAAACATACTCATCTCCACTTTTAAAAATCAGTAACTCATCAAAGTGATTATTGTTACAACACACTCATATATGTTTATGACCATAAATAACTCACACACCATCATTATCACACAACATAACCATTATCATAAACAAACCACACATAACATATCCTTCATCATATACACATTAATGTTAGAACCATCTTTAATGACGGTGTATTACCATAAATGAGCATATTGCGTTTTACTTAGATAAACAGTTTTCCCCACACATATCTCCACTTTTATGGCTAATACATCCTCATGTAAAATAAAGACTCTCACATGGACCACAAACTCCCAAGAGAGTTTCTATCAGTTAATATGCTCTGATTCTTGAGTGAAATCGGAGATGATGACTCTAATGAAATACTCTAAGACCATAATGGTCTTCTCCCTCACCTTAGGTTGCGTAAGCTCCATGGATCTGCAAAGAGCTTCATCTACCTCCATCTCCTTCAACCTCCATTGTTGTTTTTTCATCTCTAAAGCTCTCCAATCTACCATTAAGAAGCAAGAGGAAGAGGTTTTGATGTGTTTTTGAGGTTTAGTGGAGGAAAGAGTCGGAATCCATGGGGAGCCGCCGTTGGGAGTGAAAGGGGAGAAAATAAAATGAAGATTAGGGTTTGTGAAACCCTCTCTTTACTTTTATAGCTGGGCACTCTCGCCCGGGCGAGAATATCTCGCTTGGGCGAGAAGCCCACGATATTTTAAGTTTCAAAACACGGACCCTCTCGCCTGGGCGAGATTCTCTCGCTCAAGCGAGAATCTTACAGTCTGCCCAAGCTTTCTCTCGCTCAAGCGACCCATTCCTCGCTTGGGCGAGACTCCCAGAATTTCCAATTTCAAAACACTAATCCTCTCGCTTGGGTAAGGTCTTCTCGCTCAAGCGAGAATCTGGCAGTATGTCCCATTCTTCAGGTCTGTTACCACATTTCAAAGAGGGTAATTTTTGGGTGTTACAGTAAGCATTGATTAAGTTTCATGTTGAAATCAAAAAATTTAACAACCTCATCTTGGATGAATGTAAGGTGTTTAAAATCTTCTGATGTAATTATGACCATGTGTTTCTGGATATAAGGTAGACTTGAGTGCGAAATGTATGCCTACTATTAAAGTTGAGGATATGGATTAGCAAATCTACTTAAACTGCATTCGTTTGTGGTAGAAAATGTTAGATTAAATTGGGTAATGACTTGGTGATTTTATTTCGTATGTGAAAAGACTCCAAAAATCTTGTTTGTCTAAATGCTACTTGAATGAATATCATGTTTCTGTGTTGTAGCGAGTATGAATTGAAATGCTAGTGAAGATTTTTGAGTAAATCGTGGTTATTTGCACATGTGAAATGAAATGACGTTGTTTCCATCGAGTGAATGTCGACCTAGCTATTGCATTTTGGGTGCGAGCTAGTATATCTTGGTAACTGATGGATATAGAGTCCCACTTTGAATTGGTTTCGCAAGTGTTGTTGTGATTCTGACCGTTTAGGTTGATCGTTCTGAACTATTGTGGTGAAGAGAATACTAGAGAATATTTATTTCGGTTGTGATAATTTTCTCTTGGTTGTCCTAATGTTTGACCTAGTATTTTAGTTTTGGAAATTCTGAGAATCTCGCCCGAGCGAGAAAGTCGCCGCTTGAGCGAGAGTGGTCTCGCCTGAGCGAGAACTGTCTCGCCTGGGCGAGAAGAGTGGCAATTAGGGCCTGTTGAGGCTGTAAGATCCTCGCTTTAGCGAGAAATGTCTCGCCCGAGCAAGAGTTCCATCGCTTGAGCGAGAGAGTCCGTGTCTGGAAAATTAAAATATCGTGGGTTTCTCGCCCAAGCGAGAAGAACCAGCTATAAAAGTAAAGAGATGGTTTCACAAACCCTAATCTTCATTTTATTTTCTCCCCTTTCACTCCCAACGGCGGCTCCCCATGGATTTCGACTCTTTCCTCCACTAAACCTCAAAAAACATCAAAACCTCTTCCTCTTGCTTCTTAATGGAACATTGGAGAGCTTTGGAGATGAAAAAGCAACAATGGAGGTTGAAGGAGATGGAGGGGGATGGATCTCTTTGCGGATCCATGGAGCTTACGCAACCTAAGGTGAGGGAGAAGACCATTGTGGTCTTAGAGTATTTCATTAGAGTCATCATCTCCGATTTCCCTCAAGAATCGGAGCATATTAACGGATAGAAACTCACTTGGGAGTTTGTGGTCCATGTGAGAGTCTTTATTTTACATGAGGATGTATTAGCCATAAAAGTGGAGATATATGTGTGGGGAAAACCGTTTATTTAAGTAAAACGCAATAAGCTCATTTATGGTAATACACCGTCATGAGAGATGGTTCTAACGTCAATGTGTTATATGATGAAGAATATGTTGTGTGTGGTATGTTTATAATAAAGATGGTAATATGTGTTGTTTAATGGTAAAAGTAGACATGTTTATGTTTTGTGATAACGATTGTGTGTGAGTTGTTGATTGTGATAAACATATATGGGGGTGTTTGTAACAATGAATGTGTGATGAGTTGTTAATGTGTTAAAATGGAGATGGATATGTTTGTAATAAAGGATGTGTGGTAATGAATCACCTTCGTGGTGTAGACTTACCCATTGTGGTATTGAAATCACCTTCGTGGTGTAGACTTACCCAATGTGGTATTGAAATCACCTTCGCGATGTAGACTTACCTGATGTGGTATTGGAATCACCTTCATGGTGTAGACTTACCCGATGTGGTATTGAAATCACCTTCACGGTGTAGACTTACCCAATGTGGTATTGAAATCACCTTCACGATGTAGACTTACCCAATGTGGTATTGAAATCACCTTCGCGGTGTAGACTTACCCAATGTGGTATTGAAATCACCTTCGCGGTGTAGACTTACCCGATGTGGTATTGAAATCACCTTCGTGGTGTAGACTTACCCAATGTGGTATTGAAATCACCTTCGCGGTGTAGACTTACCCGATGTGGTATTGGAATCATCTTCATGGTGTAGACTTACCCGATGTGGTATTGAATCACCTTCGTGGTGTAGACTTAACCGAGGTGGTATTGAAATCACCTTCACGGTGTAGACTTATCCAACGTGGTAATGAATCACCTTCGTGGTGTAGACTTATCCAACGTGGTAATGAATCACCTTCGTGGTGTAGACTTACTCGATGTGATAATGAAATCACCTTCATGGTGTAGCCTTACCTAACGTG